CTGTGCAGTTAATAATGCACCTGCAACGCTGGTATTTAGGTTTGAAACATTTTTGCATATTCTTTAAAATAGCATGCTTACTTGGCCACTTGATTAAAGGTTTCAAAATCTGAGACATAATAGGCAGCCAACTTCTTTAGATTTTAGAGATGTCACATTCGTTAACATTAAATCTGAATGCAATATCCTTGTTGGTGAGTCCTAATCTGAGTTTCATGAGTACAGCCAAAAGATGATCCTCTAGGGTCAGAGAGCCACGGATGACCTCAACACTGTCCTTAATCGTCTGCAGGACCCAATTAAAGAGGGCACTGGTTAGACCTGTGAAAAACAGCACCTGTGCTGCTTTACACTGCAGTGACGCAAAAGAGAACTGTGCAGTCCCGAGCATTTCTTTTAATTGTTCATTCTCTGTTTTCAGTTTGTTGATGTCCTCACGCAGGTTATCACACTCTGTATGAAGTTGGCTGTACTTCAGCTGGAGGTCATCATGGACAGTCTTTGGGACCATACCTTCTGAAAAATAAATACAAATTTTACATTCTTATCTTTACAAAAAACAAATGGTTACATTCTGGGTGATAAGTCACACTGTGGGCAAATACCTGTTCGCAACAGATATGAACATTACTAACTGATTAATCCCACTAGTACGGAAGAGGATAAGGGCCACTGGAAAAAAAAAAAAAGTTAACTGTTTTTGTTTATTTTATTTCAGTATAGTATGGGAAAAAAGTCAGAATTCTGACTTTGTTCCCATGTTAAACTGAAATAAAATTTTAAAATCAGTTTACTTTTTTTTTTTTTTTCAGTGGCCCTAAACCTCTTCCGTACACTAGTGACCTTTCTATTCTGCAATAATTAATATGTTAACATTTAGGAACACACAGATCTACGTCCCTTTATAAAAATCCAAATGAGTTTGCAGGCCGTCTTGGTCAGGTTAGTAATAAGGTTTCATACCATTATATAGATCAGCACCAGCCTCTATTCCACACTCAGTTGGAGAGATGGAAGAGGGTGTACACTGATGTCCATCTTCTGGACACCTGCTGGGGGTTGCATCCCTTCTTCTTTTTCTCTTATATCTGAAACACACAGGAGAGAACAATCTCCTGAATTCAAGTCCATACAAATCACATGCTCAGTCATCCCAACTCTCCATATGAGATGTCTAATAAAAACTACATGCTCTGACCTTTAACCCGGGTAACCTATATAGCTACAATATATCAATATTTTTTCTTTGCACTTCCAGTCATACTATGTGGAGTCATGCTTGTAATCAGACAACAATCAAGCACACAGATGTGATACTTACCGCTCCAGTTTTGCAACACCGTCTTTGCCGGGCTGGATTGAGTATGGAAAGCTAGACGGAACAAAGTCTGGGATGTCGTCTGATGCCTCTCCTGTACAAATAATGAATTGAAGCAATCATCATCATCATCAACCTTTATTACAGACACTAGTCAATCAATTGAAAAGACAGCACACACAGAGAAGTTTAGACCAGACAACCTGATGATGTTAATGATAAAACTTATGGCTGACCCGATGAGTTGCAACTTGATAAGACTGAATCAAGGTACATTAGCTTGTATGCTAGTTATGCTCCAATGTGTTTTGTACGATTCATTAATCCCGTTTATATATGTAATACTTAATAATTGTATGTAAAACCATTGTTTGTAAAACCAGCGATGCCGTTTAGCTTTTTTATAGATAAGACTTACCTGATATAAAGTGATCGCTGCAGATTGATGCATTTTTAATCATCTGCTCGTTCCAATCGCTTCTTCTGATGGCTTGCAACCAAAGACGTCTCTTGTTTGCCTTGAAAGGGGTGCGAGTTGATGGGATTCGGTAAAACTTGCGCGTTTTATTGTTTTTATCAAAACGGTTCGTGCAACCGACAGCACAACAAGACATGTTAGCGGCTCTTTCTGCAGGCGACATGCGCATTGGTGCCGGAAGTGACGTAGAGTGACGTTGCCTGATAATCCCTCTATAGAATCATTCTATCACCCTATTAGAGACCTGAAGGACCAGATACCCTATAGAATCATTCTATCACCCTATTAGAGACCTGAAGGACCAGATACCCGATAGAATCATTCTATCACCCTATTAGAGACCTAAAGGACCAGATACCCTATAGAATCATTCTATCACCCTATTAGAGCCCTGAAGGACCAGATACCCTATAGAATCATTCTATCACCCTATTAGAGGCCTGAAGGACCAGATACCCTATAGAATCATTCTATCGCCCTATTAGAGACCTGAAGGACAAGATACCCTATAGAATCATTCTATCGCCCTATTAGAGACCTGAAGGACCAGATACTCTATAGAATCATTCTATCGCCCTATTAGAGACCTGAAGGACCAGATACCCTATAGAATCATTCTATCACCCTATTAGAGGCCTGAAGGACCAGATACTCTATAGAATCATTCTATCACCCTATTAGAGACCAGAAGGACCAGATACCCTATAGAATCATTCTATCACCCTATTAGAGACCTGAAGGACCAGATACCCTATAGAATCATTCTATCACCCTATTAGAGACCTGAAGGACCAGATACCCTATAGAATCATTCTATCACCCTATTAGAGACCTGAAGGACCAGATACCCTATAGAATCATTCTATCGCCCTATTAGAGACCTGAAGGACCAGATACCCTATAGAATCATTCTATCACCCTATTAGAGACCTGAAGGACCAGATACCCTATAGAATCATTCTATCACCCTATTAGAGACCTGAAGGACCAGATACCCTATAGAATCATTCTATCACCATATTAGAGACCTGAAGGACCAGATACCCTATAGAATCATTCTATCGCCCTATTAGAGACCTGAAGGACCAGATACCCTATAGAATCATTCTATCGCCCTATTAGAGACCTGAAGGACCAGATACCCGATAGAATCATTCTATCACCCTATTAGAGACCTGAAGGACCAGATACCCTATAGAATCATTCTATCACCCTATTAGAGGCCTGAAGGACCAGATACCCTATAGAATCATTCTATCACCCTATTAGAGACCTGAAGGACCAGATACCCTATAGAATCATTCTATCACCCTATTAGAGACCTGAAGGACCAGATACCCTATAGAATCATTCTATCGCCCTATTAGAGACCTGAAGGACCAGATACCCTATAGAATCATTCTATCACCCTATTAGAGACCTGAAGGACCAGATACCCTATAGAATCCTTCTGTTACTCCTTTTAGAGATCAGATCGGGATTAGAGACCTAAAATTCCAATGGGGACATCTCTCTTTCCTGCGCTGCTTAATATATTCTTTCCTCAGATCAGTTCATACATGTGCAACATTTAGCCGTGGCCATTTTGTTTTCTGTAACAAACTAAGCAGTTTTAGGAAAACCATTTATTTCATCTTCCCTCTACATGTGCGCATCATGGCGAGCTTTGGCCATCATGGCAGCTTAGCTGAATAAGCCTCATGTTTTCTTATTTCCGCTGCAGTGGGAAAAACGGCGTCAGCGTGGTGGAGGTTTGGTAACGAGTGCAGAGCTGTAGGTTCACAGACGCAGCGGCTGGTTTCACCGGGGATGGAGCTGGAGGCTGTAACGGATCGTTTAGCTGCTTATAATGACGCCTGTTGGAGGATCGGCGGTATCTGGATCAGTCCCCACATCGCTTTCCATTTTTTAAGGCTGGTTCCTCTGTTGAATCGACCAGAGATTAGCGTTTTAGCCAGAGATATAAATCTGAAACATTTTAATGGTTAAAGACATTAAATCTGGTAACCAATGGTTTGCTAGCCAAAAACTAAACTGTTCTCTAAGAGAAGAAGAAAAAAACCAAAGAGCGCTCAGCAGTGAGTCGCAAAGATGTTGTTCTTTGTATAAATCTGGAAACGTCCTCATTAGTAGCCAAACATCACCATGAGGTTTAAAGAGGGAATTTTCAGCATTAGATTAACCGGATTAGCGGGGATGGATCAGATGATGCACTTTTCCCGCCGTTCCACAGGGAGTTTCAGGACCAAAGGAGGGAAACCAAAGGATGTATGATTAGTTCTGATGCTATCAGGTTCCTATCAGAAGCTGGAACATCAGAAACTAACAGGCTGACATCATCTCACTGAGATACTGATGATGGAGGACAGAACGACGGAGCTTTGGGACCTAATGGTAGCGGGGGCAGGGCGCCGCCATCAAGTCCTATTTAATACACTGACCTCAGGTTCAAGGTTCCCCTCCACCAGTGGGAGGATCTGATTAGGGTTATGGTCTTTAGGTTTAGTTAAGGTTGTTTCTTCCTTTTTATGTTTTTGTGTTTTAAAGAACTTTTTTGGTGAAACTAGACCATCAAGTAAACAAATACCAGTGTTCAGACATCTCTACAGACAGCGTTCTGAACTCATTATGTAGAAAAGACTCAAAGCAGAGCAGAAATAAGAACTTTGACTTGCCTTAAAGAGACTTTGTTTCAGTTTTACTGAAAAATATCCTTTTTATTTGAGCTTTTGGGACTGAAACATGGTTTGATCAGGCTGACGCCTCAGTAGTTCAGCTGTTCTGTCATGGGACCCGGCCGGTCCCTGGGACCCGGGCCACCAGGTCAGGCCTGAAGGGCTGGGCCCCGTCTAAAGCGGGGAGGGGCCCCGTCTAAAGGGCCCCACTGTGGCGCTGTTTGTGTTTATTTCCAGCTAAACATGCTGTGTGAACTGAAAGCTAACGATGGCTGGTCTGCATCAGGGCCTCAGTGGCGTCTCCCTCAGCTTCGTCCACCATTAATGTTTGTTCCTGTTCAGACGCAGACAGGCGGTCCTCTGTGGCGGCAGCACGGCGCCGCCAGCCTCATTTGTTTACTGATTGTTTAGATCCTGACTCGGTGGCCATATTTGGCATCCAGCAGGTTTTATGCAAAGCAGCTCTAAGTGATTCCAGCGTGTGGATCTGATGCTCGCTCTCTCTCTCTCTCTCTGATGTTGGCTTCAGGCTGTTAGCTGCTATGACGGCCTCATCCTGAAGGCGGAGGGGAAGGTGGACCCTGACATCTTCTGCCGGCTCGGCCACTTCAACCTGCTGCTGGAGGACTATCCTAAAGGTCAGAGCTGCTCCATGTTCACCATGTTCTACCTCCATAGCTGCCTCAGAAAGCAGAGATGTAGAATTTAAAATGTTTATTTCTCTCTTCCTTCCTCAGCGTTATCTGCTTACCAGAGGTACTTCAGTTTACAGTCGGATTACTGGAAGGTGAGTTTTATTCACTTTCTGAATGAGATGCTGGTTATCAGATGTGCTGCTTCACCTGCTTCAGTGTTTTTATCAATTCAAATGAAACCTATGCCCCCCCCCCCCAGAAGCAGCCTGTGCTCCTGTCCATCTGTTACACCAGCAGGATCAAAGCATATTCCCCATCATGTCCGCCTTCATCCGTCAGCAGGAGGAGAGCTTTATTCCTCCTTTTTAGCAACAGTTAGCGAGTTGAATCAAATGTTTCCATCAAGCTCTTCCAGCAGAAAGCTCATTAATGAGAGAGGTGAGGGAGGAAACTTTAACTTTAGTGTTAAACTCCACTTCTCCTTGAAATAAATTGATACTAAACAGTTTCTAACTCTCCAAACTCACCTGATCGCCGGCGACTGATTTACAGCTTTAACAACTAATAACTAAGAAAATTCCAGCGGTAAAATGTTCACCAATATAAATATGTCAGACATCGTTGGAAAGCTTAGATTCTCCATAATTCAACCACCAATATCATTTTATGGACACAGCGAGCAGCAAAGCACAGTTAATACAGATATAGCAGCGTGTCAACATGGAAACAAACAAAGCAGCCAGAGCTACGTCCCTTTGAGGCGTCCAGAAGCCGTTTTATAAATCCAATCTTCAATTGTCATTCTTCCATAAGGGTCCACAGATTAAAAATAATCCAGCATATTAGTAATTAAAATATTCAATGATGAGAAAATCGCCCATAACGTCTGGTTGTTGACATCAGAAAGGTTAGCTGGTCATAGCTAATGCTCCTCCTAATACTTATTCCCTCAGCTTTTAGCTCACCATGTTTATGGTTCTTTTCATGCCTCCTAGACAGAAGCATGTTCAGACCATCTGCATCTTTGTAGGATTCGATTTTAGTCAGGGACTGTCGCTGAAATCTCACTAGCGCCCCCTGCCTGTCAGTCAGTGACGCAGCGAGTAGAGCCATATTACGCCTCATAGAGTCCTGCTGTTATTGGCTGAGACCATGAGGGCAGCTTGCCTTTATAGCCAATGAAATAAGGTTTCAAATAAAGCTAGACATGGCTGGATTATATAAAGCTATTTTTGAAGTTTGGACGTTGATTTAGTTTTATTACAAAGCCTAAGGCAAGAAAACTAAACGAAATGCAGCTCAGAAAATCCACTGGGGCTGATTTTAGCTTTGAAAAGCAGCAGGTTCACTATTTTTTTCCAATACATTTTTATGTTATTGTAGGTTTATAAGTGTTACATTTTGTTATAAACACTGATTGTGAAAAAGTGGATTCTGTGGGTCCAATAGTTTAGTAAAAGCATTTTAATATGGAGAGATTTGGAGACGCTGGTGACACCAAAGGTTCAAAGCTCCACAGCTCTGGAACGGTTGGAGCTAGAGGTCTGACATGTTCTGCAGTTATGGTTGAAATGATGTAGAACAAACGTAAAACAATCAGACCTGTCTATTCTTAAACATGTCTTTATTACTGCTGTTCAAAAAAGACCTTTTATTTTCAAGTATAAAAACTTTGAGTCATGTTTGAACTGAAGCAGCTTGAACTAAGATGTAATCACAGTTTACCTCCCAGTTTAGTTTGATCTGATCGATAACACTTATATTTTGACAAACTAGAAGGTTTTAGCTTTCAGATGATGTGTCACACTGTTCCTTAGTTATTTGCTTTTCCATTTGGGTATGCAGAATAGGAGACGATTAGTTCAAATTGGGTTGATGTTAAGAGGTTAAGATGTTTTTAATCTCTAGTCGTCTTTATTGCAGTTTTCTGAAAGTAGGGAAACAGGAGATGTGAAAAGAGAGAAGGAAAGACATGAAGGACGGCATGAAGGAGCAGAGCCTGTTTAACTGCTGTGCCACGCTGCCTAAAGGCCACAACACACCCAATCTCATTTAGCATCCAATCCAACAGAGAATCGTGCCTTAGAGGTCGAGACGTTTAGCGCTGATTGAAAGTCAGTGAGGAGGATTTCCAGCAGGGGGCAGCGTAGCTCAGACTGAGAAAGAGCCCAGGTCTGTTTTAGTCGGACTACGCAGCAATTCAGCAGCAATTTCATAAGTCTGACAGGAAGAGAGACGCAGTTGGAAAATAAAACAGATCTGCTTTGGGAGAAAATCCCAAATAAAATCTGTTAATCTGACGGAGAAAGAGTCAGTTTGGAGTCGCACATCATGTTTATAGTGAGCAGGACAGACTGGAGCAAAAACATTAAAATAGAAAAGTTTCCCCATGATGGGAGATCAGGAGGACAGAAACGGATAAAGTAGAGATCCTCCAGAATGAGGAGAAGCAGACAGAGCAGGTCAGCGCAGCGTATCTCTCTCACCTCTTTATGGAAAGAAGAAAGAAAAACTGGATAAACTTCCCAGATCTCTCTGAGAATCACCTCTCTGTCACCATGGAAACCGTCCCACAGAGTTTATTGCTGCAATTTTTTATTTCTTTTCTTGACACGTAGATCTCATTATGTTTTAAATAGATGAGAATTCTCTATCTGTTCTGGTTCTAGATGCTGCACAGACTCATTAAGTAGAGCTTTGCTTTATAGAACGCACAGGTGGTTTTTCATTTATTTATTTATTTATTTTACAGTAGGCTGACAGGAAGGGGGGGGGTGAGAGAGAAGCGGTTCTATGTCCGTAATCCATCCTGCTGGCAGCAGGATAATAAAAGCCAACATATTCTGCCGGCAGGTTTCTACATTTGAAGTTAATTTAGGCGTTAATAAACTGTTTCAGAGGAGTGATCATAGCGCTCTGCATCAGCAGTGCTGCGTCTGACTCCCTGCCAGCTCCCAGATCAGCTTCTCTCATTGGTTGATGTCCAGCAGCTAACGTTACATTTCTCCAACCCCAGCAGCTGCTGCGTTTGCGGCGCGTCAAACGTTGACTTTGCATGTCAACTCGCTGCTCCTGCTGCCTCTGCTGCTTGCGGCGTGAACGCAGCTTAAGGCCTCCATGCATGGGTCATGTGCGCTAACCACTGCGCCACCAAAGCTCACCCTGGTTTTTCATTATTTTTATCTTTTCATAATCTGTTCCAGTGAAATATGGGAAATAGTTTTAATGTGTTTATAGCAAATAATCTGCATAGATCTGCTCACCCCGCCTAGTCGGAGCCCCTCTATCAGCCCCTGTCAGTGTGATGAGGAAAAAAATCGGATCGGAGATTAAGAAGTCGTACGCAGCCCATGTGTTCAGGGCTTAAAAGGTTTTTAAGTTGCTGAAAGGTTCTCCTGATAAACGCAGGCCTCCATCAGAGACTCCGCATGGAGGGCCAGGCTCTCAGTGGGGCCACCGCCATGCTGCTGGTCTATGACCCAGTCAGTCCAGTTCCACCCCTCCCACTTTCATACTGGGATTTCCGCTGTAGCTACCAGATCTGCTGGGGTCCTGCTTCATGCCAGCGACATTACGCTACACGATCGGCTGAATCCCACATGATGTAAAGCATCATGGTTGCCAGGACAACGATAACGTCATGCAGCATCGGCGTGCCGAGTCTGGAGCATCTGTAGCGTTAGCGTGTCTAATGACCGATGACGTTTGATCTGATTGATCACAAAACTGATAAATCTGTTTCTGGTGAATAAAGTTACTGTTAGACCCTGATATGAAGAGCTGGGTAGCGCTGTGGCTAGCTGTGCTAAGCAGCTAGCAGGTTAGCCTCTTTTAGCTCGCTCAGTTAGCCATATTAAGCAACACTAATTTTGATTTAAAGTAGAATAACTGTTTTATTTTTAAGATGTCCTCTTCTGCCCTCACAGCTGAATAAGTAATAAGTTAAACTTTTAGTGTCTCCTGGTTAAATATCAGAGCTCAGTCTGTCTGAAGGCCTGCTTATCCTGCTGCAGCAGGCCGTCGCAGTGAGCCTGACGCAGACATTTTTGATTTATGCTCAGTTTTTAGCGTGGTCTGCGCTACACGCTTTGGGTCTAGATACGGCCGAGGCGGTGAGGAAGTGGGGGGCGAGTTTGTCCGACCACGGAGGGACATGAGGGCCAAAAAGAGCGGAGATCCAGGTGGAAAAAGGGTCCCAGTGTTGTCACGCTCCTCGCTCTGCTAGCGGGTCAAACTTCACGAGTTTTTTTCCGCAACTGCGGTGATAAAAACAAAACAAGCCGGCCTCCTGTCTGCAGAGGGGCGAGGATGTGTTTGCGTTCACTGCGACACACACGCAGACCACCTGGTTTCAAAGTATAAATCAGCCTTTAGAGGGCAGCACTTTGCTTCCAGACTGACAATCATTGTTTTCTACTTTCAGCTGCTTTAGATCCCATGAAATGTGAGATATCAGCAAATATAGGGAATAATATGATGAGACCCCAAAAGAGATTTGATCCATAAGAAACAGGTGCAATACAGTTTATCCGAGTGGAGTTGCCTTATGATGAGGTCATAAAAAGGGGCGTGGCCCCGAGCAGATCCGGTACCTGCAGCGGTGCTGCTGTTACGGGGGGGTTCAGTCCACCGTAAGGCCTGCGGACATAAACTGGTCACGCCGTGAACGGTGTGAACAGTTTCAGCCTCTAATTCACTAAAAACGTGAATAAAAAGGAGCTTCTAACCCCAGAAGATCAATATCAGAACATCATGGTCAGCTTCTGTTTCTATGGTGATTTACCAGAATAAACAAACTGTTCAGAGGAGCTAATCCCATTTAGATGAAAGGAGAAGGTTAATGAACATCCGCTGATCAGAGCAGATCCTTCCTCCTGCTGAGCCATGCAGCTCAGCTGGGATCCGGTGGTGGATGTTAGAAAAGCTCAGAGGTTCTGACCCAGATGTGTCCTGTGAACATTTTAACGGGCTGATCTAGTAGATGGAGGATTTTCTGATGATGTCTTGTTTGTTTTCCCAGAATGCTGCCTTTCTCTACGGCCTTGGAATGGTTTACTTCCATTACAGCGCCTTTCAGTGGTGAGTGGTTCCCCTGCTGAGCACACGCATCTTTTTCTTCTGTTTTCCTTCCTCTGCTGACCTGGATCACTGGAAACATCTGAGGATTTCTAAGCTTTGCTCCTCTGCTGTGAGGCTCCTTCGTTGGATCTGTGTGAAACTAGCAGATCTGCTGACCAGAGAAACCTGGACGGATGTTAATGACCTGCCAACCCAGGCTGCTAACCAGTAGATCAGTCTGGACCTGCTGCTATCGAACATTCAGCTAACCTCTGAGCTGATTGGATGAAGTCACACCTAGAGTCCGCCCACTGACATTTGGTATTAGCCAATCAGGAGAGGTTGAAAGGCTTCCTGCTCTCCATGATGATGATGTTCAGCAGCTCTCTTTGGTCTGAGCTGGACTCTGCCTCTGCTATGTTCAGACGGTACAGGTTAAAGTTAGCCGTCCAGTAAAGTGAGTCCAGATGCTTCTGCTGCTTGCGGTCTGAACGTAGCATTAAACCTTAGCGCTGTAGCCTGATTGGCTGAGGTGGGACGGTGACAGGATGGATTCTCATGTGTTGGTGAACAAAGTGGGAGGGGTCAGATATTTACTGGGGTGGTTGTTCCTCTTTTGGCCGGTTGCTGCAGAATGTTCTGGTCCAAGGTGGCGCTGAGTGGCCTAGTGACACAGATGGAGGAGTCGCAGATTGACTTAGACTTAGACTTCTTTATTTGTCATTTTGTATGCACAGAGTGCATACAGAACGAAATTGCGTTACATACAGCTTATGAACGTTGCATTGATATTTCAAATGGTACAAGATTGAACGCCCTCTGCTGAAGGAAGCTAAAGAAGCTGCAGTCGACCCAACTAACCTGGCAATAACAGGTGGAGCTCAGGTGCTAAAAACCCTCCCCTCAGAGGGACAGCACGCCGGAACTGTCAGATTTCCCAACAGCTGCATCTGTGATGCGTTCAAGTGCTCCTCATACCTGTAACTGGGAGTGTAAATCAGCATGGCGATTCGATTCAGTATCAATTTCCTGATCCAACAATTGTATTATTTTTTATACTCACGAATAAACCACGATACGATTCGATTTGATTAATTATTTTCACCTTACAGGCTAGACAATGTTTCAGATTTGAAATAAATCAATGACAGCTATCGTTAAGCATTTTATTTGAGAAACAACAGCAAATAACAGAATTGAGACAGACTGAAAGGCATCAAAAAATACTGCAAGCCGCAAAAGGGGCGTGGCTAAAGGAAGGAGGTAGGAGGGCAAAGCAGGTTTAGCGCCACCGCAGCAGAGGAGTCAGCATGATGTCCAGGAGCCAATGGATAAAAATAGACCTTATCTTCAAATAACGTTTGATTAAAAACTGTTTGCATGTCATTTATTTCAGTTTTTAATATGTTGCTCTTTGCAGAGTGAAATGTAAACACTGGGTTTGGCTGTCCTTTCATGGCGACTTATTCATATATATGACAGTTAATAGACTTAAACCTGGGTGAAAACCTGTTTAACTGGTCTGCAGAGTTGATGTCTCTGTCTGCAGGCCTGCTGGTGGTCCTCTGCCCACAGCTTACGTCAGTCTGGGTCTAAGGCCTGAAGGCCAGCTGAGCTGTGGGACACCCATTCACTCTAAACATGTGAAGGTCTTCACCTTTACCCAATATTAAATCTATGAGGCCTAAGCTGAGGCCTAAGCTCAGGCCTAAGCTGAGGCCTAAGCTGAGGCCTAACGGTGGCCAGTGAGGCAAATGGAGCATTAGCTTCTTTAGCTTTCACCGTCTGAGCTAGGCTGCATCTAAAGCGAGGACGGCAGCGCGCTCATGTCTCTGCGCTGCTGTCTGAGGAGGAGGGGGCTGAAGGGGGAGGAGCTGGGGGTACTGAGTTCAGTCCTGGGACTGACATGCATTTGCTGCTGTTGCCATGGTGACACAGTAAGGGGGCTGAGCTGTAAAGCGTTGCTGAGGGCTGGGCTGCTTGTGGTGGACAGGAAATGACTGGATTCATGCTGAGGTAGAAGAACCGGGTCCCAATCCCCGCTGTCCTCCTGGATAACGTTGATCTTCTCTGCTTGTGGAAAATAGCCTCATATTTACAGGCTTTCAGGCACAAACTGCTGCACTGCTTACATTTTTACATGTTCTAAATTCTATTCAGTTTATTTCTATAGCTCCAACTCACATCCTGTCATCTCAGGTCACTTTCCAGTCTTCCTTTCCTGGGTAACCAGGCCTTTCCTGTCTCAGCGGTACCTTAGCATAACCTAGATGGTTAGCATCTGCCTCTGATGGTTATACCGTACAGTAACTGGCAGTAAACACCTACCTGCCTCAGGCTTTAGCTGCTTTCTAAACATATTTAAATGCTTTAGCTCATTCTGTCTGTTAAATACTCTGAGAGCTGAATCATGCGTCACATTTCAGTTTCTGTTTTTCTTTGTCTCTCAGGGCTATTAAGGCCTTCCAAGAGGTGCTCTACATCGACCCAACGTTTTCCCGAGCGAAAGAAATTCATCTGAGACTGGGACTCATGTTTAATGTCAACACAGTCTACGAGTCCAGCTTGAAGGTAACGTCTGTCAGCTGTTCGGTTCCCATGTTCCACAGGTTAGGAAGGATGTGCTGTCTTCTACATGTACTGCGTAGATCCTTCAACCCGGTCCAGCATGGCTTGGCTCCAGAGTCATTATGAGACAGGAGAGGCTGGCTTTGCTGGACTCTGTTTTCACTGGTCTGCATTTGAATCGGAGTCTGACCATGGAATGATTTGATGTCTGTGGTTCTTCAGGATTAGTTTCCTTATTGAACCTCAGGAGGCGGATCTATGCAGACAGCAGGGAACTGGTTTAGACTCATGGTTGGGTTCTGATCCATGGCTTTGTTTAGGTCCGATTGCTCCGTCACAGGATGACTCTCTAAACTCCTCTTCAGACCAGGCTGAGGTTAACCTGCTCTTTCTATGCTTCGTAGCTCTGTGATTGGCTGATGAAGCACACCATCAGCCAATCACGCTCTGCTTTTTTTCTAACAATCAAAATATTCGTTCCAAATACTACATCCGGTTTAATGAGAAACCGGCTGGCTAGCTCAGGTTGTAAGTCCCCCGTCCTGCAAACAGGGAGCCTGGGTTTTTATCCCCACTGGGGGGGGGGGGGCATGAACTGCCAGGGTGGGTCCTCAGGCAAGACCCTTCACGCTACGCTAATGCCTGTTTTGTAAGTCGCCTGGATAAAAGTGTCTGTGAATATACTGAAAAGAAGAGGTGCAGAGCGGGTGGAATTGCGTCATCTCCTCTGCAGCCATCTGCTGAATGGTAATCAGTGACAGCAGGATGGGGGTTGAGAGAGGAAGACGGGGAGGGAGGAGGAATGCCAAGCTGACGGTGCTGCTGCTGCTGTGGAGGATAGAGCATTCTAAGGGGGAGACCTGCAGGAGATGCTATCATGGGAGAGCCGTCTAGGTAACGCGTTTAGATTCTGGGATGCGGCTGGTTTTGTTCTCTCTTTCTGTCCGGCTGGCGTTGACTGATCGGATCTGCAGGCGGATGGACGGTAGGAGCTATCTTTAGCCTCAGCCTGGATGAAACATGATAGCGCTCGCCTCTGAGAGAAAACCAGTAGAGGACCAACTGGCTTCATTTGGTTTCAGGTAGATCTTCTGAATCTGTGAACCAGATGCTATGAATTCCTTTTCTAATATATGAATGGAAGTTGTGATGGTGCAGCTTGAAGGCTGATGCAGACCTGTCACCTTGGAGCCACCAATGGCTGCACGTTAGAACCACAGGCTAGCATTTAATGGCAGCGATCCACTGATCTGGAACCTGCTGGTTGGGTTCTAGGATGGAACAGATCAGAGCAGCATTGGTAAGGCTTTCTTTCTGTTCTGGTTACCAGAAGCAGGCAGTGATCTCTCTACATCAGGAGCAGAGGCGGATGTCGCACCGCGCGAGAGAGCGGAGGCGGATGTCGCACCGCGCGAGAGAGCAGAGGCGGATGTCGCACCGCGCGAGAGAGCGGAGGCGGATGTCGCACCGCGCGAGAGAGCGGAGGCGGATGTCGCACCGCGCGAGAGAGCGGAGGCGGATGTCGCACCGCGCGAGAGAGCGGAGGCGGATGTCGCACCGCGCGAGAGAGCGGAGGCGGATGTCGCACCGCGCGAGAGAGCGGAGGCGGATGTCGCACCGCGCGAGAGAGCGGAGGCGGATGTCGCACCGCGCGAGAGAGCGGAGGCGGATGTCGCACCGCGCGAGAGAGCGGAGGCGGATGTCGCACCGCGCGAGAGAGCGGAGGCGGATGTCGCACCGCGCGAGAGAGCGGAGGCGGATGTCGCACCGCGCGAGAGAGCGGAGGCGGATGTCGCACCGCGCGAGAGAGCGGAGGCGGATGTCGCACCGCGCGAGAGAGCGGAGGCGGATGTCGCACCGCGCGAGAGAGCAGCTGCTGTCCAACAGCGTTTAATGATCAACAACTAACGGATCTTCAGGTCTTACATCAGGTGGTCCTTTCTCTGAACCTGTAGGCGTCTCTCTAAAGGTCAGGATGCATGATGCCGTATTGGCAGGGACAGTAGGGCTGCCCACCAGCAGGGGGCGCCGCAAGGGTAAAGAATAACTGCTGCTGCTCCATGACAGAGGCTGGTTTACAGGAATAAATCAGTGCTGTCAGTGGACTGATGGGAAGTCTTTGGTTTCTCCTTCCTGCTGAAGGTCCTCTGCTCCTCTGAGGAAGAAGAAAAACCAACCTTTGGGTCCCACTTCCTGTCTGCTGTTAGCTTAGCCTGCTCCTGTTTAGCACGCTGACTGAAAGGACTGCTGGCTTCTGGTTCCACATGTTTCATCCTTCAGTGTTTAAACTTCAAACCTTTGTTGTTTTCATGGAGCTCTTTAAGGTAGCCGACCATCAGCAGGTTCTAAAGACCTCTGAGGTGGTAGATGGATCAGATCCCAACCCATCTGTCCCACCCCTCCCCCCCCGGGTTCTGGTTCTTCAGGGTTCATTCATGCTTAGTTCTGGATCTGCTCTGATGCCATGTTTGCATTAAATTGTGTTTTTCTTCTCTCTGCAGCATTTCCAGCTGGCTTTGATCGACTCTAATCTCTGCACTTTATCCAAAGCTGAAAGTAAGTATCTGAGTGGGTGGATGAATGGGTGGATGAATGGGTGGGTGGATGGGTGGGTGGATGGATGGGTGGATGAATGGGTGGGTGGATGGGTGGGTGGATGGATGGGTGGATGAATGGGTGGATGAATGGGTGGGTGGATGAGTGGGTGGATGAATGGGTGGATGAATGGGTGGGTGGATGGATGGGTGGATGAATGGGTGAATGAATGGGTGGGTGGGTGGATGGGTGGGTGGATGAATGGGTGGATGAATGGGTGGATGGGTGGGTAGATGGGTGGATGAATGGGTGGGTGGATGGATGGGTGGATGAATGGGTGGATGGATGGATGGGTGGATGAATGGGTGGATGAATGGGTGGGTGGATGAATGGGTGGGTGGATGAATGGGTGGGTGGATGGATGGGTGGATGGATGGGTGGATGGATGGGTGGATGAATGGGTGGATGAATGGGTGGGTGGATGAATGGGTGGATGGATGGGTGGATGAATGGGTGGATGGATGGATGAATGGATGGGTGGATGAATGGGTGGGTGGATGGGTGGGTGGATGAATGGGTGGATGAATGGGTGGGTGGATGAATGGGTGGGTGGATGGATGGGTGGATGGATGGGTGGATGGATGGGTGGATGAATGGGTGGGTGGATGGGTGGGTGGATGAATGGGTGGGTGGTTGAATGGGTGGGTGGATGGATGGGTGGATGAATGGGTGGATGGATGGGTGGATGAATGGGTGGGTGGGTGGATGAATGGGTGGGTGGATGGATGGGTGGATGAATGGGTGGGTGGATGGGTGGATGAATGGGTGGGTGGGTGTATGGGTGGATGAGTGGGTGGATGAATGGGTGGGTGGATGGATGGGTGGATGAATGGATGGATGAATGGGTGGGTGGATGGATGGGTGGGTGGATGGATGGATGGGTGGGTGGATGGGTGGGTGGATGAATGGGTGGATGAATGGGTGGGTGGATGAGTGGGTGGATGAAGGGGTGGATGGATGGGTGGATGAATGGGTGGATGGATGGATGAATGGATGGGTGGATGAATGGGTGGGTGGATGAATGGGTGGGTGGATGGATGGGTGGATGAATGGGTGGATGGATGGGTGGATGAATGGATGGGTGGATGAATGGGTGGGTGGGTGGATGAATGGGTGGGTGGATGGGTGGGTGGATGGATGGGTGGATGAATGGGTGGGTGGATGGGTGGATGAATGGGTGGGTGGGTGGATGGATGGGTGGATGAGTGGGTGGATGAATGGGTGGGTGGATGGATGGGTGGATGAATGGGTGGGTGGATGAATGGGTGGGTGGATGGATGGGTGGGTGGATGGATGGATGGGTGGGTGGATGGGTGGGTGGATGAATGGGTGGATGAATGGGTGGGTGGATGAGTGGGTGGATGAATGGGTGGGTGGATGGATGGGTGGATGAATGGGTGGGTGGGTGGATGGGTGGGTGGATGGATGGGTGGATGAATGGGTGGGTGGATGGATGGGTGGGTGGATGGGTGGGTGGATGAATGGGTGGATGGATGGGTGGATGAATGGGTGGATGGATGGGTGGATGAATGGGTGGGTGGATGGGTGGATGAATGGGTGGGTGGATGGATGGGTGGATGAATGAATGGGTGGATGGATGGATGGGTGGGTGGATGGATGGGTGGGTGGGTGGATGGATGGGTGGATGAATGAATGGGTGGGTGGATGGATGGGTGGATGAATGGGTGGATGGATGGGTGGATGGATGGGTGGGTGGATGAATGGGTGGGTGGATGGATGGGTGGGTGGATGGATGGGTGGATGAATGGGTGGGTGGGTGGATGGATGGGTGGATGGATGGATGGGTGGATGGATGGGTGGATGGATGGGTGGATGGGTGGGTGGATGGATGGGTGGATGAATGGGTGGGTGGGTGGATGGATGGATGGATGGGTGAATGGGTGGATGAATGGGTGGGTGGGTGGGTGGATGGATGGGTGGATGAATGAATGGGTGGGTGGATGGATGGGTGGATTAATGGGTGGGTGGATGGATGGGTAGATGAATGAATGGGTGGATGGATGGATGGGTGGGTGGATGGATGGGTGGGTGGGTGGGTGGATGAATGGGTGGATGAGTGGATGGATGGATGGGTAGATGGATGGATGGGTGGATGGATGGATGGATGGGTGGATGGATGGGTGGATGGGTGGGTGGATGGATGGGTGGGTGGATGGGTGGGTGGGTGGATGGATGGGTGGGTGGGTGGATGGATGGGTGGGTGGATGGATGGGTGGATGAATGGGTGGGTGGGTGGATGGATGGGTGGGTGGATGGATGGGTGGGTGGATGGATGGGTGGGTGGATGGATGGGTGGGTGGATGGATGAATGGGTGGATGAATGGGTGGGTGGGTGGATGGATGGGTGGATGAATGGGTGGGTGGATGGATGGGTGGATGAATGGGTGGATGGGTGGATGGATGGATGCTGTAGGATTAAAGTAGTTCTGCATAGAGCAGATCCACACAGCCTTGCCTTCCTTGCTGACGGCCCAAGACTCCGGTTGCCAAGGAGACGGTGCACGGAGGGAGCTGCAGAGACTCACAAGCAGGCAGCACAGGCGCTGTGATTTCAGATCACATGTATTCCCTGCTGCACGCTGCTGGTTGACGGGGGGGGGGGACAGCAGACTGATGAAGTGATGCTTACATTCTTCTTCTCTTTTCTTCCAGTTCAGTTCCACATCGCTCATTTATATGAAATCCAGGTAAGCAGATCAGATTCGCCCTACTGTAGGCGGGGCTGGGGGATTGATGGGGATTGCTGTTAATGGATCCACTTGGGTTGAATTAGCTAAAAACAGCTTCAAGACTTCCTGATAAGGTTTTAAAGTTGTAGTGAAAACATATTTAAATGTCAAATCAACAATTATCATTTTTTGAACAGCATGTAATAATTTCAGATTTAAAGAACTGTCAGAAGTTTAAACTCTGAATATGAACGGACTTTTCCTTTAAGAAACTTAGACTCTTGTCTTTTAATATTTATAATTGTTTTCTGTCCAGTTTAATGTCTGCCTCTGAGTCGGCGGCCATCTTGAATATAAGCATCCATTGAGTGCTGGTGGTCATTCAGTCGAGCTCAGGCTTAATGCTGTGCTCACAGGAAGGGTTAAAGTGACACCCTGCCTCTTATAAACCCAGTATAATTCCATCACTGGCAGCGCGGCAGGCCAGCGCCTGAACCTGCCGTCATACCCGACCTTCACAGACCCAGGGTTACCCAGGTCCCTCAGGTTCCTACCGTCAGCCCGTCGTTAGCAGATGGAGGATCTCTTACAGCCGCTGTCTCTCTCTGTCCTGCAGAAGAAATTCAGAGCAGCTAAGGAGGCGTACGAGAGTCTGCTGCAGAGCCAAGATCTCCCTGCTCAGGTGAAGGCCGCCACACTGCAGCAGCTCGGTAAGTGGACGTTACTCTGCGCTTTGATCCAGAGCTTTAAGTTTGCAGGGTGTGTAAACTTTGGGCTGCAGAGAAGGTTGGTGGTTTACTGTTGGGCAGAAACGACCTGAGGAAAACCAGAAACCTCTTTCCTGCTGATGGATTCTAGGCAGACCGTTAGATCATCTTTTGATTATGTTGAACTGTCTCCCAGGGCAACCATGTTGCTACGTGCGGATTGCTAGTGCTGGAAGCATCAAAGCAGCTTCTGCTGCTTTATCTCTGATCCACATTAAGGTCAGCCGTCCAGTAAAGTGAGTCCAGATGCTTCTGCTGCTCCTGTGTTCGATGCCAGAGAGCAGCTTTGCTATATTAGCTGTGATCAGCGGGTAGAAAGTAGTTAGAATCTATGTTGAAGTGAGAAAGTCCTCCTGAAAACATGGTCTGTGCAGTCAGTTCATCCAGATTACCATCCTGCCTTCAAAGATTATTTCTCTGTGGGAGCCGCTCAGACCCCCACATACCGGCGCTGCGCTGTCACTGGGAATCCCCAGCAGCAGCTGCCTCAGGCCCGCTCGCCTCTCCAGGGTTTTCCCCTCCTGTTGGTGGCGGCTGGAAGTAGATGTTAGCGTTTTTCAGGTCTGTGCTACAAACTGCAGGCAGCAGGATAATAAAAGCCAACATATTCTGCCGGCAGGTTCGTAGACGCCATGCTGCCTCTACAGCATGCGGTCTGAGCAGAGCTTTAGTGTTGGAAATAGACTGTTGCTGCTTGGCCTGTTGGGTTGGTTGAGCAATCATTAGTTGCCTTGTGGGACAGTTCTCTGTGGTTCTGGGTGGTTTTGTTTTGCTGCTTCTGCGGGTCTCAGGGCTGATTTATTCTTCGAAGCTAGGACGTCTGCATAGGTGTTCGAGCGAACAAAAAGACGTCCCCGCCCCCTCCACAAACACTATGCTGCACCTCTCACAAATTGTACATGATGTCAGACAGGAGGCCGGCTTGTTTTGTTTTTATCACCGCCATTGCAGAAAACAACTCGTGAAGTTTGACCCGCTAGAAGAGCGAGGTGCACGAGAACGCTGGGACCATTTTTCCACCTGGATCCCCGCTCTTTTTGGCCCTCATGTCCCTCCGTTGTCGGACAAACTTGCCCCCACTTCCTCACCGCCTCGGCCGTATCTAGACCCACAGCGTGTAGCGCAGACCATGCTAAAAACTGAGCATAAATCAAAAATGTCTGCATTAATCTCACTGCGACGGCCTGCTGCAGGAGGATAACCAGCCCTTCAGATTAACGTGGACCCAATCAGAGCGGCTAACGCTCTCTGTGCTTCTCCTCAGGCTGGATGCATCACACCGTGGAGCAGCTGAGGGAGAAAGATGCTAAGGGCTGCTATGCCATCCAGTGTCTGCAGAAGTCTCTGGAAGCAGACCCCAACTCAGGCCAGTCCTGGTACCTACTGGGCAGGTAAGCCTGAGTGCTGAGATGTGAAGAGTTCTGGTGCTGGACCGCTCCACGGTTCCACCTGCTGACAGCTCAGCCCACAATTATTCACACCCTGGAAAATGATGTTTACTTTCTAACCAGTAGGTTTTTCTGGATAGTCTTTTTCCTGCTCTCTGCAGGATGCTCTCTTAGCCAATAGCTTATTGGTCTGTTTTATTTTTTTCCATTTAATGTTTCATTGATTGATTAATTAATTAGTAAATGATTAATTGAATAATTGATTCATCTGATCAATAATCCACACCCTGGAACAGAAACACAGAGTAACGCTTGGATTGTTTTATGACCTCTGATGGAAACCTGAAGCATCTTCAGCAGCTTTACTGCTGATCCAGACACTGATTAGATCAATGGAAACTCTTCGATTCCTGATGGTTTGCAAACCTTGAAGCGTTGGCCTCAGTAGACCAAATGATGGTTTAACCGTGTGTTTGCCAGGTGCTACTCCAGTATTGGGAAGGTGCAGGATGCCTTCATCTCCTACCGGCAGTCCATCGATAAGTCTGAGGCCAGCGCCGACACCTGGTGCTCCATTGGGTGAGAATCTGCCTCCAGAACCGGAGCGTTTAGAATCAGTGTTTAGCGTTAGTATTCCTTCCTCCACAGCCTGCTTGGCTTTTATTTTTCCTTCTTTTGTTATAAAGTAGAATTACAAGGTTCGATAGCAAGGTTAGGGATCAAAACATGGCTGCCTGATAAACTGACAGCCTGGCGGAGCGTTAATCAAAGCAGCAGCTCCACCTAACCTCCAGCTTCCACAGAGCAGGTGGGACATCCATCCTGTGGAAGTAATGTGGCTTTAGCTAGAGTCCGGAATGGCCTAGTCAAAGTTCATACTCATCAGGAATCTGTGGTGAGGCTTTGAAGGTGTGAATACTTCTGGGTCCCTGAGCTGCGTTCTGTCTCCTTGCAGCGTTCTGTACCAGCAGCAGAACCAGCCGATGGACGCTCTGCAGGCCTACATCTGCGCTGTGCAGCTGGACCACAGCCACGCCGCCGCCTGGATGGACCTGGGCACCCTCTACGAGTCCTGCGGCCAGCTGCAGGACGCCATGAAGTGCTACATCAACGCCATGCGCAGCAAAGCGTGTCTGAACAGCGCCGCCCTGGCTCAGCGCATCAAGCTGCTGCAGGTGGAGCCCCTCCCCTGACATCATGGCCCGTTGTTAGATGTTGTTTGGTAGTTTGATGTTCTGTGCTTTAAGGTGCTGTGATCAGTGGCCCTTTGAACACATACATATGAATACTGATTCATATTGCTGTGTTTGATGTGAAAGCATACGTTCATTAATCATTTCTCTGATCTGTGTGCAGGTAGAGCCGCTCTCAGTCAGCATAGATTCTGTAGTTCCTCTCCTGTTTCAGCACTAAAGTCTGTGTTTCGCACCATTTCTCCTAGGCTCAGTTGTGTAACCTTCAACCAGGTAGTCTGCAGAGTAAGACTAAAATGCTTCCTTGTATTGAGGAGGCGTGGAGCCTTCCCATCCCTGCTGAGCTCACGTCCAGGCAGGGGGCCTTGAACGCAGCACAGGCACAGCAGGTGAGAACATGGTTTGTTTGGCCGCTCAGGGATCCAGCCTGCCAGACTTTCCTTTCTGCTTCCTCTTAACCAGTTAGAACCAGATTCCACACAGAATAAGTCCGCCTCATTGGTCCCGCTGAGCTTTCCCGCTCATCCCAACATGTCCGTCCAACGCCTGGAGATCAGTGCTTAAAACCTCCAACTAGGAGACAGAAGAACAGTCAGGGATGAGTTTCAGACCAATCATCTCAAACCATCACAGTTCCCCTGAGATCAGAAGGTCACCATGTTGACGGTGAACGAATGAGTGACATCACAGTGCGATGAACAGATGATTGACATCACAGTGCGGTGAACGGATGAGTGACATCAGTTCAGTGATTGAAATAGTGACATCACAGTGCGATGAACGGATGAGTGTGGTGAACGGATGAGTGACATCACAGTGCGGTGAACGGATGAGTGACATCAGGTCAGTGATTGAATGAGTGACATCACAGTGCGGTGAACGGATGAGTGACATCACAGTGCGATGAACGGATGATTGACATCACAGTGCGATGAACGGATGAGTGACATCAGTTCAGTGATTGAAATAGTGACATCACAGTGCGATGAACGGATGAGTGTGGTGAACGGATGAGTGACATCACAGTGCGGTGAACGGATGAGTGACATCAGGTCAGTGATTGAATGAGTGACATCACAGTGCGGTGAACAGATGATTGACATCACAGTGCGGTGAACGGATGAGTGACATCAGTTCAGTGATTGAAATAGTGACATCACAGTGCGATGAACGGATGAGTGTGGTGAACGGATGAGTGACATCACAGTGCGGTGAACGGATGAGTGACATCAGGTCAGTGATTGAATGAGTGACATCACAGTGCGGTGAACGGATGAGTGACATCACAGTGCGATGAACGGATGAGTGACATCAGTTCAGTGATTGAATGAGTGACATCACAGTGCGGTGAACGGATGAGTGACATCACAGTGCGATGAACGGATGAGTGACATCAGTTCAGTGATTGAAATAGTGACATCACAGTGCGATGAACGGATGAGTGTGGTGAACGGATGAGTGACATCACAGTGCGGTGAACGGATGAGTGACATCACAGTGAGGTGAACGGATAAGTGACATCACAGTGAAGTGAACGGATAAGTGACATCACAGTGCGGTGAACGGATGAGTGACATCAGTTCAGTGATTGAATGAGTGACATCACAGTGCGGTGAAAGGATGAGTGACATCACAGTGAGGTGAACGGATGAGTGACATCACAGTGCGGTGAACGGATGAGTGACATCACAGTGAGGTGAACGGATGAGTGACATCAGTTCAGTGATTGAATGAGTGACATCACAGTGCGGTGAACGGATGAGTGACATCACAGTGAGGTGAACGGATGAGTGACATCACAGTGCGGTGAACGGATGAGTGACATCACAGTGAGGTGAACGGATGAGTGACATCACAGTGCGGTGAACGGATGAGTGACATCACAGTGAGGTGAACGGATGAGTGACATCAGTTCAGTGATTGAATGAGTGACATCACAGTGCGGTGAACGGATGAGTGACATCACAGTGAGGTGAACGGATGAGTGACATCACAGTGAGGTGAACGGATGAGTGACATCAGTTCAGTGATTGAATGAGTGACATCACAGTGAGGTGAACGGATGAGTGTGGTGAACGGATGAGTGACATCACAGTGCGGTGAACGGATGAGTGACATCAGTTCAGTGATTGAATGAGTGACATCACAGTGCGGTGAACGGATGAGTGACATCAGTTCAGTGATTGAATGAGTGACATCACAGTGCGGTGAACGGATGAGTGACATCACAGTGAGGTGAACGGATGAGTGACATCACAGTGCGGTGAACGGATGAGTGACATCAGTTCAGTGATTGAAATAGTGACATCACAGTGCGATGAACGGATGAGTGTTGTGAACGGATGAGTGACATCACAGTGCGGTGAACGGATGAGTGACATCAGTTCAGTGATTGAATGAGTGACATCACAGTGCGGTGAACGGATGAGTGACATCACAGTGCGGTGAACGGATGAGTGACATCACAGTGCGGTGAACGGATGAGTGACATCACAGTGCGGTGAACGGATGAGTGACATCACAGTGAGGTGAACGGATGAGTGACATCAGTTCAGTGATTGAATGAGTGACATCACAGTGCGGTGAACGGATGAGTGACATCACAGTGAGGTGAACGGATGAGTGACATCACAGTGCGGTGAACGGATGAGTGACATCAGTTCAGTGATTGAATGAGTGACATCACAGTGCGATGAACGGATGAGTGTGGTGAACGGATGAGTGACATCACAGTGCGGTGAACGGATGAGTGACATCAGTTCAGTGATTGAATGAGTGACATCACAGTGCGGTGAACAGATGAGTGTTGTGAACGGATGAGTGACATCACAGTGCGGTGAACGGATGAGTGACATCAGTTCAGTGATTGAAATAGTGACATCACAGTGCGATGAACGGATGAGTGTTGTGAACGGATGAGTGACATCACAGTGCGGTGAACGGATGAGTGACATCAGTTCAGTGATTGAAATAGTGACATCACAGTGCGATGAACGGATGAGTGTTGTGAACGGATGAGTGACATCACAGTGCGGTGAACGGATGAGTGACATCAGTTCAGTGATTGAATGAGTGACATCACAGTGCGGTGAACGGATGAGTGACATCACAGTGCGGTGAACGGATGAGTGACATCACAGTGCGGTGAACGGATGAGTGACATCACAGTGCGGTGAACGGATGAGTGACATCACAGTGAGGTGAACGGATGAGTGACATCAGTTCAGTGATTGAATGAGTGACATCACAGTGCGGTGAACGGATGAGTGACATCACAGTGAGGTGAACGGATGAGTGACATCACAGTGCGGTGAACGGATGAGTGACATCAGTTCAGTGATTGAATGAGTGACATCACAGTGCGATGAACGGATGAGTGTGGTGAACGGATGAGTGACATCACAGTGCGGTGAACGGATGAGTGACATCAGTTCAGTGATTGAATGAGTGACATCACAGTGCGGTGAACGGATGAGTGACATCACAGTGAGGTGAACGGATGAGTGACATCACAGTGAGGTGAACGGATAAGTGACATCACAGTGCGGTGAACGGATGAGTGACATCAGTTCAGTGATTGAATGAGTGACATCAGTTCAGTGATTGAATGAGTGACATCACAGTGCGGTGAACGGATGAGTGACATCACAGTGAGGTGAACGGATGAGTGACATCACAGTGAGGTGAACGGATGAGTGACATCACAGTGCGGTGAACGGATGAGTGACATCACAGTGCGGTGAACGGATGAGTGACATCACAGTGCGGTGAACGGATGAGTGACATCACAGTGCGGTGAACGGATGAGTGACATCACAGTGAGGTGAACGGGTGAGTGACATCACAGCATATGGAGCTGGTATTAATATCGCGGTTGTTGGATTTTCCTATCCATGAGTTCTGGAATAAAGTGCTGAAGGTTTTTCCACAGATCTATTCTAGACATGTTCGTATAGATCTATTCTAGATATGTTGGTGTAGATCTATTCTAGATGGTGTTGGTGTAGATCTATTCTAGATGTTGGTGTAGATCTATTCTAGATGTTGGTGTAGATCTATTCTAGATATGTTGGTGTAGATCTATTCTAGATATGTTGGTGTAGATCTATTCTAGATGGTGTTGGTGTAGATCTATTCTAGATGGTGTTGGTGTAGATCTATTCTAGATGGTGTTGGTGTAGATCTATTCTAGATATGTTGGTGTAGATCTATTCTAGATGGTGTTGGTGTAGATCTATTCTAGATGTTGGTGTAGATCTATTCTAGATGGTGTTGGTGTAGATCTATTCTAGATGTTGGTGTAGATCTATTCTAGATGTTGGTGTAGATCTATTCTAGATATGTTGGTGTAGATCTATTCTAGATATGTTGGTGGAGATCTATTCTAGATATGTTGGTGTAGATCTATTCTAGATGGTGTTGGTGTAGATCTATTCTAGATGGTGTTGGTGTAGATCTATTCTAGATGGTGTTGGTGTAGATCTATTCTAGATGCTGGTGTAGATCTATTCTAGATGGTGTTGGTGTAGATTTATTTTAGACAGTGTTCAAATGTTCTAGACGACTTGGATCTGTTGCAGATGTGCTACTCTTATATCTAATCTAGACAGATTATTCTAGATCTATTCTAGACAGCATTGAATTAGAAGAGTTTTGGTCTTCCATCGTGTCTCTACTTTAACTAGGCCATTCTAACCCAGAGACCATCCCACTGCAGCTCTGGCTGTCTGCTGCATGACTGCTCCACCCATCATGTCCCACAGCCTGATGCTTCCCCCACCGTGCTTCAAGGGGGTGAAGTGTTCAGGGACATCTGACCAGCGTGTCCTCTTCCTCCTGTTTGCCTGCCACGCCCCCTGCTGGCAGGAGGCCTTCCTGTTCCTAAGCTTGGAACCTGCTTCCAGACGCTGTGAGGCTGGCTTCCCTCTGATGTTCTCCATCAGGCCACCAGCTGAACAGCTGGACCTGCAGAAGGCCTCCAGTGATGTTGAGGGTTGGAGTGAAGATGGCTGGATCCAATGTTCCTCCTTCCTTCCTCAGATTGTTGGAGAACTCTCAGAAAACCGGGCATCCTTTCCCTTCGTCTCCAGACTGATGAGGCCATTTTTAAGTTAGATGTTGGCTGCAGGAATGGTTTGAAGGCGTTGGATGGCGGTGGTTCCTCTCAGCTTCCCATCCCCCCACTAACACAGAGCAGTGAATCAGATCGTGGCTCAGAGGGAATCTTGAACGATCACAGCTTCAGTTCTGCCTCTTAGAGGCTGGATCTGATGGACCTGCAGTAAAAGTCCTATTTAGACATCAGCTTCTGGGTATTTTGGGTCTAGAATCTGAAGACGGACGGCTTCTTTTCACTGCTCCCCTTCCTGCTTCATCCTCTGCTTCGGTAGCTCAGGTGGGGGGGCTCCCCTCTATCTGATTGCATGTGGATGTTGTACCGCCGTGGTCTTTCAGTGGAGCTGTTGGGTGCTTCCTGTCTGGTGCGGTTTGTCCTCTGAAGCTCTGTCTCTGCTGGATTCCAGGCCTGTAAAGGTGAGGGAGGCCCGTCTGCCGGCGGCCACTCCGACCCACAGGCCAGCCCGGCCAAAAGGAAGCGCACTGCCAGCCCAGCCAAGGTACTGCAGGTGGTGGTGGGGGGTTCGGCAGCTGCTGGGTGGGGGTTCTCATGCCGGCTTGTTTTGGTCTGGTTCTCAGGGCGCCGCGGACCTGCTGGCCAATGGATCCAATCAGCAGCAGATCCCTGGCTGGTGTCTAACGCCTCAGAAGCTCCAGGTAGGCACAGACCCTGTTAGTTTGGATAGTTTCAGGGATGTTCAGAGAAGCTGATTAATGCGTGTAACGTTCTTCAGCTGTTGGATCATCTGCGGAAAAACCGGAGCTGCCTGAAGCCTCCTCAGCTGCAGATGTTGGAGCAGCTGGAGAAGCAGCTGTCCGTCATGCAGCAGCAGGTCTGTCTCTGGCTTCCTGCTGGGTTCCACCTCCTCTCTGCTTCTAACCTCCACCTCCTCTCTGCTTCTAACCTCCACCTCCTCTCTGCTTCTAACCTCCACCTCCTCTCTGCTTCTAACCTCCACCTCCTCTCTGCTTCTAACCTCCACCTCCTCTCTGCTTCTAACCTCCACCTCCTCTCTGCTTCTAACCTCCACCTCCTCTCTGCTTCTAACCTCCACCTCCTCTCTGCTTCTAACCTCCACCTCCTCTCTGCTTCTAACCTCCACCTCCTCTCTGCTTCTAACCTCCACCTCCTCTCTGCTTCTAACCTCCACCTCCTCTCTGCTTCTAACCTCCACCTCCTCTCTGCTTCTAACCTCCACCTCCTCTCTGCTTCTAACCTCCACCTCCTCTCTGCTTCTAACCTCCACCTCCTCTCTGCTTCTAACCTCCACCTCCTCTCTGCTTCTAACCTCCACCTCCTCTCTGCTTCTAACCTCCACCTCCTCTCTGCTTCTAACCTCCACCTCCTCTCTGCTTCTAACCTCCACCTCCTCTCTGCTTCTAACCTCCACCTCCTCTCTGCTTCTAACCTCCACCTCCTCTCTGCTTCTAACCTCCACCTCCTCTCTGCTTCTAACCTCCACCTCCTCTCTGCTTCTAACCTCCACCTCCTCTCTGCTTCTAACCTCCACCTCCTCTCTGCTTCTAACCTCCACCTCCTCTCTGCTTCTAACCTCCACCTCCTCTCTGCTTCTAACCTCCTTCTCAGATGAAGCAGCAGGCAGGAGGCCAGCAGCCGTCCCTCCTTCCCAACGGCGCCGTAGCCGACTCCCCCCTCCCCCGCTCCTCCCCCCTTAGTCACACAGCCAATGGACCCCCCAGCGTCCCCCAGGCCACGACCAACGGATCCTGCTCTTCGAGTCCTTCGGCGGGTCTGCCAGGACACCTGGACCTTACCAATCACACCGCGGGGCCGGGAGGCGGCGGCGGCGCGAGCAACGGAGACGTGCCTTACCCGCTGCAGAACTCTCTACCTCACACCAGTCAGCCCAGCACCACCAGCAGCACTAATATTAGTCCCAGTCAGGCAGAGACCTGGAGGAGCCAACAACACGACACTAGCACTCAGGTACGCAGGTGTCAGAGAGCAGCTTCATCTTCACCATCCTCACGACTCAGCATCTATTAGATCTACTCTAGATTCTGCTCTGCTTTCAGAGCTGGGCTTTGACTAGGCCAGTCAGAGACCTGCTGGTGGTCTGTAGACGTTCTCCTATCAGACTGGCAGAATGTTATCAGGAATAAAAGGTCTCAGGAGGTCACTGGTCTAAATTCAAGCAGCATTTATTAACTGGTTCAGACTGGGAAGATGTACTGGGAAGGCTTCACCGGCAGTCTGACTGCTTTTCCAGGGCGCCTCTCCCCCAGCTGGCCAGAGGGCGAAACTATGGCAGGCCGTTTAGACATTTAATAGCTTGACTGGATATATAATCCAGATGTCTGAAATGCATTTCTTCCATTTAAGATTTCTAAAACATTCTTCATACTAAAACTGAATTCTGACGAGGGTGAAATCTAGTTTTAGATCTCTATAATAGAGTTACTGCTAGTTATAATTACTATCTCAGATAGTTCTAAATAACATTCTGCTAGTAGAAATTTCATTACAGATATCAACTACTTATTTCAGGACTAGTTAGATTAGAATTCCAGAAATCTCAATTTTAATATTGCAAATGTAAAATTTAGTTTTAGGTAACATAAAATAGGCAGGCTGACTAGTCACATTTCTATTATAGATGGCACTAGAGCATTCTACCTAGTCCCAGTTACAATACTCCTACTCAGAATTGTATTTTAGATATCAATAATTACTTTACTGTCAGCAGAAATTAAACCTCAAGTTTTCTGGAATAAGATTAATTCTGATAAGAACTACATTTCAGATATCTACAAATCTCTACCAATTTTAAGTTGCTGTTTTAATGTATATTTACTTGTATTTCAGATATATTAAATAGTAATCCTCCTAAAATAATCTGAAATGTAATTCTTACTGTTAAAAATTAGCCGTGACTTTCAGATATCCAAAATGACATTACTCCTATCTAGAATAAACATTCTGGATGTTTAAAATGAATTCATTAATGAAATCATTGCTGGTCATAAATTTGTACTAATAAGAATTACATTTCAGACATCTGGAATGTATATTTTAGATGGTAGGAATGTTATATTAGAGATCTGAAATGTTCATTTTGACTGGGAAGAAATGCATTTGAGACATCTGGAATATATATTCAGTCAAGCTAATAAATGTCGAAAGGGCTGCTTAAAACGTGTAACCCTTTGAAATAGGGATGCACGATATAATCGGCCCCCTATCCGTATCGGCCTTAAAACTGAATATCGGACATCAGCCACCCCACCGATATTTAACCCGATATTTGATCAGCTTCTGAGTTTCTAAAGTCTAAAAAAAAAAATACTACTTCTTCTTCTTCCTCAAAAACTTCTTTTCTACAGGCTTAAAAACTTCTAAAGACGAGGGAAAAAATATTGATACATTAAAATTAGGGGTGTAAATAATAATCGTTTTGTATCGATGCATCGATCCAAAAGCCGACGATCCGATGCATCGACACGTCCGCAAGATAATCGATTCATGTTTTTTTTTCCCTCCGGTCTATTTTTATCCATTTGCTCCTGGGCGTAATTCTTCCTCCCGTGCTGTGGTGGCGCTAAACCTATTTTGCCCTCCTACCGCGCTTCCTGGTTATACTCTTACAGCAGTGTGTTGCAGCAAGCTTCACACAGACATTTTTAAATTATGCTCAATATTGAAGCGTGGTCTGAGCTACAAACTGTGGGTCTAGATACGGCCGAGGCGGTGAGGAAGTGGGGGCGAGTTTAGTCCGACGACGAAGGGAAATGAGGGCAAAAAGAGCGGAGATTCAGCTGGAAAAAGGGTCCCAGCGTTCTCGCGCACCTCGCTCTTCTAGCGGGTCAAACTTCACGAGTTGTTTTCCGCAATTTCGGTCATAAAAAAAAAACAAGCCGGCCTCCTGTCTGCTGCACTGTTTGCGGTCAGCTACAATCTGGGAGAGGAGCAGCGGAGCGTCTCTCAAGGGGGCGGTGACGCAACACTCTGGAGCCTTCTTCTTCTTCTTTTTTTTAATGGCGGTTGGCAAACAACTTATAGGTGCATTACCGCCACCTTCCAGAATGGAGTATGGACCAGACAAACTATTATATTCTCCCTAAAATACCCGTTCTTCTTAGAAAATTAAAAATACTACCAAAAACTACATCCCCAGATGACCTTTGAAACAATTCCCTTATATATAGTTTATTTTTATTCCTGTCTAACTCTCTAAGCAACATCTCTCTTTCCTGAGTATATTTATTACATTCTAAAAAAATATGTTGGACAGTTTCTCTGGAGCCGAGGTATTGCATTCATCTCATTACACTGATATTGTGCAGTATTTTTGCTGTTGTTTCTAAAGAAAATGCATAATGATATTACAGCTTTCATTGATTTATTTCAAACTTGAAACTTTGTTTAGCCTGTAAGGTGTAAAAAAAATAATAATAAAAAAACAAACAACTAATTAATCGATTAATTGAATCGAATCGAATCGTGGTGTATTCTTGAGTATCGAAAATAATCGAATCGTTGGGTCAGGAAATCGATACTGAATCGAATCGCCATGATGGATGTGATTTACACCCCTAATTAAAATATCCCAATATCTTCATATGCTGATATATTGCCATTTAAAAACACCATATCAATCTCTTTTACTAATGAAATATTGCTATATGTCATCGTTATGCTACGAAATCCCCCGAAAATTCACCAAATGTTGCCATATTTTTATATGTTGATATATTGACGCGGTATCGATCTATTTTACTAACAAAATCTCACAAGAATTTGCAAAATATCACGAGAGTTTGTAACAGAACGATGAAATTTCACGAGATTTTGAAAGTAAAATAGATCGATACCGCGTTTTTAAAAATCTATTTGATATCAGCATATGAAAATATATTTGAGTTTATTATTTTTCAAAGTGTCAGAAATGGATAACAAAACTGCTATTTTCAATGACTACTTATTTTTGTCCAGCTTTAACATCGGTATCGATATCGGTTATCGGCTACATGAGTTTTAAAATATCGGCATATCGGATATCGGCCAAAATCTCAATATCGTGCATCCCTAGTTTGAAAGTTTATCCTTACTAGTACAAGTATGTTTTGGGCAACCTTAGATTTAATATCTGCTGGCAGAATCTGGGATATCTATATGTGCGTTTCTGGCTAGTAGGAATGTAGTTTTGACCAGGAAGAATCTTATTTTAGAGATCAACAAATGGAACAATAGAGAAGACAGCTCTTCTAATAAATGTTAAAATGGCTTGCCGTAGCCTACCTGCCTCCTCCATGTTTAGCATAAAGTCCCATAAACCCACAGTGTCAGGTGACAGGTGACAGGCAGCTGCTTTCCTCTAAAGGTGTGAATCTATTTTGTCGTTTTCTCTCCAGGGGCTCCATAAAGGTCAAGGTTCATATTCAGCAGGTCCTGATGAAGAACCTCCCTCCTCCCCCCCCTCTCAGACCCCCTTCTCCTCCTCCGTCATTCTCAGTCAGGTGGGACATTGCTCTGGGCCCTGCACTGCCTCCTCCTCGGCCTCCTCCTTATCCCCCACCTCCCCCCAGTCCTCCCCCCTCCACTCAGCTACTACCTCAGGGCTCCACACCAAAGAAGCAACACCTTCCAGGGTTGAAAACGGCAGCGTCGTCCCCGCCGCCGTTGGCCATCATGGAGGAGTGCCGCCCAGTCCTGGCTCCGCCCCCCGGCAGGGATCGACTAATCACGTCCAGCCGGGGCGCTCGGCCGGCCTGTCCCAGCCCGCCTCTCCTGCCCCCGCAGCGCTCAGTTCAGACAATCCTCAACTCTCAGCCTTTGGAAAGGAAAAAGCCAGTAACTATGACAACGAGCAGGGTCACCACGGAGCGTCTTCCTCAGAGAAGGTCAACAACGTCCACGCTGCTCTCCGCGCCAAGCCGGAGCTCTCAGTGGCGTCCTCTCCTCTGTCTCCTTACCCCGCCAGCGCCCCCTGCTGCCTTAATGGGAGGGGCCCCGAGGACTTCAGGAGCCCTCAGAGGAACACGCCCCCTGCTGGTCTGACTCCCTGGTCTTCAGTCTCCATCTATCCCAGCTCTAGTGACGTGCTCAGAGCCTGCAGGTGAGAGGATGCTCTACCAGCTGTGTCCGCCTGGTTCTGGTTCTGGTTGCTCCGCCTGGTTCTGGTTGCTCCGCCTGGTTCTGGTTGCTCCGCCTGGTTCTGGTTGCTCCGCCTGGTTCTGGTTGCTCCGCCGGGTTCTGGTTGCTCCGCCTGGTTCTGGTTGCTCCGCCTGGTTCTGGTTGCTCCGCTGGGTTCTGGTTGCTCCGCCGGGTTCTGGTTGCTCCGCCTGGTTCTGGTTGCTCCGCTGGGTTCTGGTTCTGGTTGCTCCGCCTGGTTCTGGTTGCTCCGCTGGGTTCTGGTTGCTCCACCGGGTTCTGGTTGCTCCGCTGGGTTCTGGTTGCTCCGCCGGGTTCTGGTTGCTCCGCCTGGTTCTGGTTGCTCCGCTGGGTTCTGGTTCTGGTTGCTCCGCCTGGTTCTGGTTGCTCCGCTGGGTTCTGGTTGCTCCGCCGGGTTCTGGTTGCTCCGCCGGGTTCTGGTTGCTCCGCCGGGTTCTGGTTGCTCCGCCTGGTTCTGGTT